CCCAGCGACCAGATCCACAACGGCGGTCCGTGGAACCAGTCCTGAGACATCCTTTGCGACGTCCCACAGCCCTCCTTTTTGAACGCCCTGAAAAACCCGAGCTTCTCAGCAAATCTCAGCAACTTGTTACCGCCGCCTGTGCAGGGCGTGTGACTGTCGAAGGGACTGCCGCCAGGCTCGAGGCAGACTCCACTCGACCCGCCAGGCTTGAGTGATGCATTTTGCCAATGGTCCTCGTACCCTTAGCACTTATCCTTGCATGGTAATGGAGGAGGTTGTGTTAGCGGCAGACCCCTAGACGTCCTTTCGAAAGCGAGCAGACTTGAGCATTGAGAGCTTGTGCAATGGTAGCGAGGGAGCCATTGCGGGGGCCAAAGCGACCGGTGGCGTTGTTTGCTGCTTGGGCCTTCGGGCACTCCAGGCACTCTAGGTCTCTAGGCTGACCTTGCGGATCCTGGCTTCTGTGCTAAGGCAGCTGTTGTCTGCATATGGCTGCCGAGAGCACCCATGCATTGATGTTGGTTGATAAGGCGCCAACACTCCAAGCCACGGCAAGCGCGACGAGGCACGGAGATGCGATGTCATAAATTCGTTTCACCAGCCTTGCCGCCTTGCTGGGCCATGTCTGGCAGCCCCAAGGTGCACGCAGCGGCAAAGCAGCCTGAAAGCAGCGAGATTGCTTGACTTTCTCCGAAGTTTCCGCGTCTCCGGTCTGCGCAACCCTTTAATCAAACACATTCTCCATGCCTGTTCTGTTTTCGTCATACGGATTGCTTCATCCAAGTTAACTCGCGAGGCACCGGATCTGTGTGCGGCTCTGGTGGCTGAGCTGCTCATAGTGCAGAGCCTGGCATAAGGGATGCCCTATTCTCTCCCGTGCGTGCTGGGGCCATGGGGCATAGGCACTGGGTATCATAGGGTGTGACGTGCAACGAGTCCAGTGGCCCGTTCTACCCTGCACATCACCCCTCGAGCTACCGCCGTCACGATGCAACTTCGGCTTACACTGTGGACAACGCAGCTGTTTCGGCGGCTTCACCTTCCTTGAGGTCGCTTGTGCTGCAGCTACACTTGTTTCATGCGGTTTTGCACCGTTTGTTTCTCTTCGCTGTCCCCGTCCCTGTCCCTTCCCGGTTAGGAGCCAACCACCGCACGAAAACCTCCAAAGGCACGAGAGTCACGACTGCATGCCTCATCCGGCACCGAGGCAGGATGGCATTCATGGGACTTGTGCGCCGGGCGCTTTCTACGTTTTTGCTGGCTGCTTGGCGGTGTCGCAGAATGCACCATGCCATGGGCAGATAAGCTACAGCAAGTGCTCAGCCTTGGCAGCTAGGTCCCACCCGATACGGAGACGACCACAGTAGAGTGAACTCATGTGAACTCACTAGCAAGGGCAATTTAATCACAGTCGCACGGTCTCGCAGCATGAATTTTGCTTGCAGCATGTGGCTGGAGATATCTCTTGCTTCTGCCGGCCTTCCAGATTCCTCAAAAAACTGGATGTAATCGGGGATGATACGAACGGAAGAAGCCCGGAAGCCTGTACAGTTGGACTCGCGCAATGACAGATGAACTCAGGTTGCTAGTGCCACTTGCGTGGTGTCGCTGGAAAGGCTGCGCCTCCCTCCCCCCGCCCGCCTTCATAGGGCATGCACAGAGATGGGCGCCATGTACGTTCAGGCAGAAATCGCCCGCAGCAAGTTTCAATTGTAGGTGGGAGTCTCTACTTCCAAGCCTTGCCTTGGAGGAGCGAACAGGACAGTGGCAACTGTCTCTGCCTTTTCGACGTAGACCGCACGCTCACCGGCCAACAAGATCTCACCGGCCCGAACTGCGCCGAGCTCGGGAAGTTCGCAGACCCGACAAGACTTGCGGCTCTTGCAGTGACCATTCAGAACCATTCTCAGCCTTGCCAAGGTTCTCAGAATCAGGTGCTCCCTGGCATCAAGGACGGCACTTCCAAATGTTGGTGAAAGAAGCATCTTGTGTTGTTTAGTGTGCTTGGCAGGACACCGCGTATGGTGGGGGAGATCTTACCTTGTCGCAGGCCGCTGCAGCTCTGTACTGCTAGGATGAACACGCCTAGCGAGGTGTGCCTCGTCCAACTAGCATGTTGGTTAAAAGCAAGAGTGTATTTCCATCTTGTCGCTCCCCTCACACCTGTGACGTGCTGTGGACATTGATACTATTTGATACTGTTGGCAACGTCGTGTTGACAGCAATTCCACGTAGCAGCGGATGACTGCAGGTTGGGCAGTCCTTCAAGGGGACCTTTTGCACTAGCTGTTACATTGGCATCGTCACTGCGGGTGACGTGAGCGGGGCTGGCAGTCAGGACAGCCGCGTGAGGTTTGCCTGCAGTTTGCAAGATCATGTCTGGAAGTCGTCCAAAGCTCTTACTGTCTCCATGCTGTTTTTACTTTGCGCGACGAGCAGGCTATGGCTACGCACAAACACAGTCTGATACATGGACCATTAGAAGCTATTTTTGAAGGAGCGTGCAACTCTTGTGCAACATCTGCAGGGGTCAGGTGGCAACTCGGCTGCACGCCTCCGCAGCCGGTGCCAACAATTGCGCGTTGCTCGTCTCAAAGTTGTCTTGAGGCAAGCTGCCAGTGACTAATTGGTGCGGCACCTATGCAGTCAAGCTGCCTTGTCCCTTGTCCGGCTGTGAGTCTCGAACCCTTGCTGCGTTCAAGGTCTGGCCCATCCAGAGGAGGCGAGGCACGCCGAGCCTGCACTCCACAGGCTGGGCCGAGAACGAGCGCAACGTGGCCTGAACGTCACTGGATACTCACCAGGACGCGCAGTCTACACTGGTGACAGGCCCTGGCTTTGCTTGAATTGTGGTGCGACATTGAGGGCCTTGAGCACATGATTTTTTTCAGGATGCATGGACGGCACAAAGCAGGAGGCTGCAAAAGGTATTGTCACCTGGTCATGCGCTCGAGCACTGGATGCGCTCGTAGTTTCACATCCATGAGCAGCCTGAGGCTTGCACGCCGTGGTGTGGGAATTCTTCCTTCCAACGTATGGCTGTTTGATGATCGCTCCATGAACATTGTGCCTTTTCGTGGGACGGGCATGAACGCCAAGATGATTTCCTGCGCGACGAGGCAGGAGCGTGCAAAGCTATTCAATGCTCCATTGTGTCCATGGGTGCTTGTCGCTGAACTGTTCCTGTCAGGGATCCAAAAATGCAGACCGGTGTGTGTGGTGCGACCACCCAGGCGGCAGCGAGCCATTGATTCCAACGAAGTGATCGCTTGTCATGTTCAGTTACATGTTCAGCATTGTTTCTGCTGAAGAGATCCACAAAGTAGCCAGTTCAGCGCATTGTGATTGCATGAGGTCTGCATGACCATAGCGAGGTGCATTAATGGGGGGCATCAGAAAGCTGAGATCTGCTCGCTGGAGGAGATTCTGCAGGAACCCGGGGTGATTGTTTGTGATGACCAGTCCACCGTGGTCGTGTGATGTGATCGTAGAGATCTGACTACTCAGAAGCCTCCGCAGTGACATGGTGCCGCGAAGCGTTACCATGTTTTCCTGTGCAAAAATCTAATTACTCTGCCGTCTCCTCAGTCGGCACGTTTCCATTGAAGTCGAGACGTGCCAGCAGACTGCACGTGGCAGACTGAAAGCTGAAGCTCCTCTTTCGATGTGTCCATATGCCAGCTGGATAGGGTCGGATACGTGCGGAGAGACGAGCTCCAGGGGCAATGTCGCTTGCAGCCACGGCGGTGTGCTTGAACCGCCTGTGGCCACCTACGCGTTGATACCCGATATCATCGGCAAAGGATGGATTTCAGCGTGTGTGTGCGCACAACAGATAAGATGCCGTGGAGCAGGCCTTGCAAGCAGCCAGACTGCCAGCAACTTCTTGGTGAGAAGCAGCTACACAAGGCTGTTTCTGCTTGCCAAGGCCTCCCCGAAGAACCGGACGCGGCGCCTGTGGCGCACTTGGAGAAGTGGATGCCCGAGTCTTGCTAGATCCTGTTGCTGACAGGGAAGGCTCCATGCTTCCGAGCGTGTGTGAGCACCGAGCCGAGGCTCCGTGCAAGGGCAGCTTAAGAGGAACCCAACCGGTATGGCCGTTCTGGAAGTTTCGGAGCCGCTAGTGCTCAAGAGAGGAGCGTTCCGTTCCGGACTCTCTGTTTATTGCAGGTGGGGCCTCCTTGTTAGCAGACCCGTGACATGTCGTCAGGCCTTATGTGCTAAAGATCCTTGAAGAAAGAAGAAATCCGTTCTTGGCCAGGGAAGAAGTCTCCAGCCTCTATCATGGCAGCCTGCTTTCGCAAACTGTTTTGCTGTGCTTGGCCATGTTACATGCGTGGAGAGTGGCTCGCCCCATGAAACACGCAGTACTTGAGAGTGTCGCCACCAAACTAAGGAGCCTTCAAAGGTGGGCCGTGCCGTTCCTCCAACTGCGCCAACATCGCGACGCTTCTCAGTCAGCCAAATCCTGAGACGTCTTAGAGTCCCTCAGGTCGTTCAAGCGTCACTGCTGCTTTTGCCGGAGACTGTAAAGGCATACGCTGTGATGCAGCAGGGCTCGAGCTCGATGCGAAGCGCAAGGCAGGAAACGCTTTGGGCAGATCAGCCGAGTGTCCTACTGGCCGAGCGGAAGCCGCCCCAATTCTATAGGGTCCCTCCAAGAGTATCGTGTTTAGTTCATCAGCACTGCTGCTATCTGCCGCTGATGCGGCTGCAGTGGCTGCTGCTGCCGCGACGACGACGGCGGCAGCGACACATGACAAGCCGCCGCGGCAGCCGCCGCCACCGCCACCGCGCCCGCGCCCGCACCGCCGCCGCCGACGCCGCCGCCGCCACCGCTCCGATCGCGACGACGACGACGACGACGGCGGCGGCGATTGAGATGCACGGCAGTCGAGGATTGCCGTCAAGAGAGAAGTGTGGTCGGGGGTGTCGTTCCGATCTTGTTGCAGCTACAAGTAAATCCACGGGCACCCTGCACCACCTGCTTGTGTTGCGTTCCTCGGGCCTTGGGCACTACGAGGGGAAGCCGGCCCATCTATCGGAGAGCCCAAGTCACGCTCGCTTGCTGCAGTCAAGCCAGCGCCCGAGCTTTTTCTGTGCCTCAGTACGGACTAGAATTGCCTCTGCGTGAACATCCCCCGGTGCTCAACTTCAAATGGATTCAAGTAGCCCACCATCTGCAACAAGCAGGGCTGTCTACAGCAGGGGGTACAACGGCCTTCATGCTGCAAGTCCCAGGAAACGGAGATGTCGCAAGAGATCCTGATCGGTGAGAGCATGTGAGAGGTGGAATCCCTGTCGCAGGCGCACTCGCAGCGGGTGGACGCCCTGACGCCGAAGCGGGGACCAAAAAGACAAGCCGTGGTCGTTTGTCTTTTCCCTACCCTTTCCGTGTTTTCGTTTCGTGCTGTTCGTGGCTCGGTGCAGGTCCTTCGGAGCTGCCCTTGATCGTGCTAAGCCGTTCTTCTCAGACGAGACCTCCGAGGATGAGTCCGAAGGCCGTGGGACCTTAGCTATTTTTATTACTATTATTAATATTATTACTACTATTATTAATATTATTACTACTATTATTATTATTCTGAGTTTTGGCAGTTTGACCCACTCCTCGCACCTTGGGAGGAAGCAAAGGCAAATGATGGCCACCCGAACTTCCACATCTCCCCCACCTTTGGCAGAACTGCCTTCAAGAGAGAGGCTTGATCATCGCGAAGCCCATGCGGAGAATCCTTTTTTGGTATTTGGGATTCGGGTATTGGTGAGTGTGTACGGGATTATGTTGGATTATTCGTCCTTCAGCTTTGGCTTTGTCCAGGAGCTAGCCACGCGTGACCAAGACTCCCTCCACCACTAAGTTCCCCGGGCTCCCGGAGGAAATGTGTCAGCGCTTACGAACTCACAGCTTGTTCTGGGATCTGTCACGTTCAAGTCTTAGTGGAACATTCATGCTTTGTGGATCTTCGCGACGATTCATCCGCCTGCCTTGCATGCATGAAGCATGCAGTAGTGCGCAGATACTCAAAGCTTTAGTTGGGCCAAGAATACATCTTGACCCTGTGTTTTGACTCCCTATGGAGTGGACCTGCAGCACGCACCAAATTTTGTATCTTTTTTTGTCCCCTGTCTGCAAATGCCGTTACGGCGCTAGATTTCTCTCGCCAGCAGCGCACTCGGGGTTACATCCATCGAGTCCGTGGCGGTGTCTAGCCGAAACCCACTGGCAAAAGGTCAGTGGTTGCTTGTATTGGACATGAAGGTGATAAAGGCTGCAGTGCGCAGTTGGTGCAGGTGACCGGAAACTGGGCTAGGCATGCTAATTCGGCAAATTTCACCATCCCGGGATTTTTGCAGGGACATCGAAGCAGAGCTGATTCTTGGAGCTTGGGCCCATACGAGATGTTGTGGCATGCTGAAGCCTTCATGAAGCTTGCTCCTTTGCTCAGGCGAGACGCAATCCTCTGCATGGGCCTTGGCTCTATGACATGTGAATGCATGTGAACGGGCAATTACCACATGCACTGTGATCTGGTGCCAGATGTTTGATTTACGGGTGTTGTTGTGTGCAGATGACTGCTGAAGAAGACATGTCACTCCAGCAACCACATGCCGTGGCTCGTCAGAGGCTTCGACGAGCTTTGCACAGGAAATTCACACATTCTCAACCCTTTGCCGGATGGGGGGCGGTTCCCGATTCCCCAAAAACCAGGATGGCGAGGCTACAGCGATAAGGCAGCACAGTACAGTAGCAGCCAGCTCTTGGTCCGGGCTACTGCAGGTTCAAGTCATTGAAGGGGAACCAGAAAGGGAAAACGTGCGTGCAGCTTTCAGAAGGTGCTCAGACTCGGTTAGACGCGACAGACGCTGGACATCACTTCTATGTAAATGTTACTTCAAATCAACTGGAGCACCCATGTGAACGTGAAAAGACCTTCAGTTGCCAATTCCCATCTTTGGAACTAAGGCATGAGAAGCCGACAAGCTTGCAGAGAGTGCTTCTGTGTAGCCTATGGGTTTGAAGTTTAGCGGACCTTACGGGCTCTCGCCTGTCCTCCAATCATTTCTTCGCAGCAGCACCAAGGAGGCTTGAAATTAACCTCGAAGCTTCTCTCAGCCTCTCTGAGCACTTTCTTCAAGCTTTCCCTTAAAGCTTCCTTTAAAGTCTCTCCTATAATCGTCAAAGAGAGAGCGCCGTTTGCTGCCGCTTTGATTATTGGAAGCCCGTACGACCTACGAAGTTCAGCACACTCAAGCAGAGACGTGTTCCGCTGCTTGGACTGCGATGGTTCTCCGAAAGCCCAGTGCAAAGGATGTGGCTCTGGAGATGGAGCTGGAGGACATCGCTCGGCTTCGCGAGCGTCTAGGCGCAGCTGCTGATGCTTCTTGGAGGGGCCTTGCGGAAAGCCTTCAGGTGACACCCTCTCCACTCAGGAGGTGTTGGCTCAGCAGGCCCTCCGTTTTGGCTACCACGACGACGGCGCTTTGCTCGTCTGTGCTGAAGGTTCGACCTCTGCGAAAGGATTGTCAGGCGAAGGTCTCGGAGTTGCCGCCTGCTTGTCCTGTCTGCCCCCCTGTCTGTGCAGGAGCAAAGACGGCCGGCTGGGAGCTGAACAGCGATGCACTCCACTGCTGCGTGACGAAACGCTGGCAGACTGAGGAAGGGCCAAAGCCGTCGACAAATCCAGATTCCATACGGGCCGAACCGGGCCAATTTAATCGGGCCTCAACGATCCCCGCATATGTCATTTGGGACCCGGACACTTTTCGGACTGTGCCAGGCTGGGAGAGGCAAGTGACCTGGCAAATTTTGGAGCGCGCGATTTTTTGTTTCCGACGGCTGACGAACCGGTGCTCTGTTGGTTCTTCATGAGGCTACCTCCCTTGCCCCCCAGGGCGTTCGGCCTCCAGGCAGGATCCTGGTCAGTGCAGCATGCTTCTGTTGAGTCAACGAAACGTTACATGCTTTTCTCAATTCTCTTGTAAACGGAGAGCGCTGCACCTTGCAGGGTTGATGTACGTATGAAGTGCACTCACAGGTCACCCACAGATGGGCTGAGATATGATCTTGTCGTACTATCAGTAGCTTCGACAGCTGGCCTGACATGCCATTGCAACAACACTGCAGGCCAGAAAGGCAATTGACCGTGTCGGATGAGGAGCCCTTTTTATCCGGAAGAAGCTGATATCTGTGGATCTACGATGATCTCGCGGGAAGGAGGGACCCCTGTGGCACCTAGCTACTGAGCACTTTGAGCCCAGGAGTATGAGAATGTCCGATGCAACTGCAACAATTCAGCTGTACTGAGCCAGCAGGTGCCGAACATCGCTTCGCACTGGTGGTTCATTTTGCATTTTTGTTACCGGCTGCCGCGAGAACTCGAGAGATAGACAGGCCTGGGTCTAGTGCTGGGTCTAGAGTCTAGAAGCTGCAGCCTGGCAAGTGGCGGCCTGACAAACTGGCTGCGAATCCGCAGGAGCTTAGTGCTGTTAGCTCCTTTCGGGCGTTGCGCCAGCTTCCCATGCAGTCGCAACGTGTCCATTTACCAAGGCATGCTTTGGTCTTCGGTGTAATTAACTATACGTTCAGGTTACGCAGGATTGACCAAAGGAGCCCACGCGTCACAAGCACGCCGAACACATTTTAGTAACTTAGTCCGGAAACGCAGCCGATGGCTGATGTCGAAGGGCCGGCCTCTGTACTGGGTTCGATCTGGGGAACGAACCAAAGTGCAACACAAGAGCAGCCTGTCACTGGTCTGTGCTAGTGACTTTGAACAGGAAGGCTTGCGGCGAGGCTTTGAATTGGCAAGTGAGACTGTGCACTTCGGACTTCGCGTATGCGCGATCAAACATAGACCTCAGAGCAGAGTGGCAAACGTCAGTGCCGGCACGGGATGACGGTGACATGAAGGGAACCTTACTATTTCGCTGATTCTCTGCATGTGTCGGCACGAGACAGCAAGTCCAAGCAAGAGTGCAGCACGAGACAGGCATTGAAGAACAGACAGCGGCATTTTTAACATCGCGGCCCGGGCACGCTTTGACATGATCCAGTGCTGGTGCTATGGCGGGGCATGCTCTGATGCTGTCAGCATCCAGCCAAGCACGGCCTGGCATCTTGCAGGCCCTTTTAAGGGCACCCTGGTCGCCCTGTCTCTTGTTGGTGATTCCAGGGCGCTGGTAGTGTCACGTAGTATGTCGTTGCATGTGGTATAGTTGCGTTTGCAGGCCACCGGTTGGCGCAACAAAAGCCTCTGCTGAAGGGCCCGCCTTGACAGGTGCAGCGGGCCTTGAGAGTGCCCGGTGCGACCTTCACTGGAAAGGCCACAATAAAGAATGTTCTTCAGCATCTCGACGGCTCAAAATCTTGGGAAGGCGAGATGCCGGCAGGGAGCAACGGTCGCCTCTTTGAGCCTCGCTGCTTGGCAGCGACTCCCTGGGTCGGAGCTCTGCCCTGGGGTCTGGTCTCCAAGGCGGGGAAGCTTCGGCGCCACGCAGCTTCGAGGGCTCATCCCGGACGCCCGTTGGATAAATTCCAGGCACCTTGGCTGTTGCAGATGACTTTGCGAGGTGGAAGCTGCTCTTTTTTCATTAATGTTTCAGGTCGGCGAGCATGTGGAGGGGATGGTGGTGCAAATTTACTGCCCTGGCGGCGTCTCTGTAGATGTGGGCTGCTCCGACACCTATGCATTCCTGGAAGTGGAGGCTCCGATGGGATGGTTTGAGAATTCCACAAACTGCTTTCAACACTTGCTCGGAGGAGTTCACAGATGGTTTTCCACGGAAGGGGCCGTTCAAGTACAAGCCCGGAGATCAGATTTCTGCGAGGATATTAAGCGTGAACCCGGAAGCCAGGCAAGTTGGGAGGGCGTAGTTAGTGCATAAACAGACTTTGGCACGCTCTCTCTCATTCTAGAGGGCGGCGGGCCATGGAGAGCCCGACCCGCATGGAGAACACGGAGACACAGGCTAAACGAAGCGGAGAAGCGCCGGAGAGAAGTCGAAAAGTGTTCAACTCCAAGAGGCCGGCTGTACCTCACGCTGCGATCGGGAGCGGACCTGGCGCGGCCTGATCGTTACGTCGCGGATTCAAGCAGGCACCGGGATTTGGTTGCGATGCCTCGCTGCGAATGCTTGCAAGAGCGTGCAAGGCCGGCAGACGTACGAGCTTTTCGGGATACCGAGCAGGGTGCCCTTCGGCTGGGTCTTGAGTCTGATAGTTCTGCTTCTGCCGTCTCCTGACCATTCTTCATCAGGAATGGCTTACGGGAGAGGTGGTGATGATGTCGAGCTGGGCTGTGTACGTCAAGGTGCGCAGCGCTGTGAAAAAGCGAGCTACTCTCATGAACCCTTGCAAGGTGACATCACCTGCCGGAAAACCATTTGTCGGCATTCTTGCCGAGGAAGACTTCGACGGAGAATTTGTGCAGGCACTTCTCGCCGGGCAGCTTGCTCTCACGCGCTTCTGTGCATCCCGTGCAAATCCTGCAGGATGTGGCTCGTGGCTCACAAGTTTCTGTGCGCATTAAGGAGGACCGCGGTGTCGATTGCTGTGAGATTCTGCATGGTGACTTGTGGGTGGAGAATTTTTGTGGCAATTCTTCCTCCGCTGTGGCAATGTTTTGTTGTTGGGTGGTGATGGTGTGGTGGTAGTAGCGCCGTCGTAGTAGTAGTAGCATCAGCAGCAGCAGCAGCAGGAGTTGTAATAGTAGTAGGATCGTCCTCGTCGTCGTCGTCGTAGTAGTAGTAGTAGTAGCAGTAGTAGTAGTAGTAGTAGTAGTAGTAGTAGTAGTATTGGTGCAGCAGCAGCAGCAGCAGCAGCAGCAGGAGTTGTAATAGTAGTAGTCGTCCTCGTCGTCGTCGTGGTCGTAGTGGTAGTGGTAGTGGTCACGATAGTGGTAGTAGCAGAAGTAGTAGTAGCAG